TACTGCCTGATTTTGCTCTATTTCATCAACGAAAATAGTTCCAAATAAAGTAACAGCTCAGCCGCTTCACATCTCTAAAAGCACAGCGGTGTTTCATTCATGAATGAAAGTGCGTTTTTGAACGAATCTAGTGAGTCAGTGATTCATGATTACCCATTCATAAAGACAGTCACTTGCTTCATTCCTGAATGAATGAGCCGTTCAAACGAATCAATTGAATGAATGATTTAGTGATAAAATCCGTGATTTGCCGCACCTGCTGGCGGTTTCAGTTTCATTTTTAGGTATAATTGCAGTTATTTAAATTTAATATTTCTGTATTCAAAATTGTATTTAAAACATTAATCTCCACATGAATTTATGAATTTAATTGCACTCATGCCACCTCTGAGCCTCATTGAATGTCTGAAAATGTACCTACAAGCCACTTTTGTGTTCTTCTGTGCCACCTCTGTAGTACAAATAAATTTTTCATTAATACTAATTTCACGATTGGTAACTTATTTGTCTTATTCTACTTCTTATTATATAGTTTTAAATATAAATTTTAAAAAGCTTATAAACATAAATTTTTGAATTTTACAGATGAAAATGATGCCATTGCAAAGGTAAAAAGAAAATGCCCCTGTAAATCATTTCACCTCATATTAGGAAGGCTAATTTTTGATCAGAATTTTTGATTATTGATCAGAAGGTGCTCCTTAATTTTTTTAAATTAGGAGGACAAGCGCTCTTGATTACAAGAAGAAAAACACTGCTCTTAAACTGGGTGTGTGACAGGTATGGCTGAGGAATGTGGTTTGGCCGAGGAAAAATTTTCAGTCAAAATATTTCTTTTTTTTGCTTTAACCCCTGACTACTACAACAATTATTACAACTTTTGTTTAAAAGAATAATCACACAATACGCTATTTCTTCCATGTTTTAATTTTAATGGTAAACCCTTTGTTTGCCAAAAAATAAAGAGTTTAACTCTTTAAAATAAAGAGTTTACTGTGGGAGTACTACACTCAACCAACACCAGGAAAGGCAGTTTTTGTCAGAGCCTTTGTTATTCTTAATTTTGACATTAATTTTCATTTTTACACCATACATATATATCGGTTCAAAATATCGGTTATCGGTCTACTTGATCTGTAATAATCGGTATCGGCATCGGCCCTGAAAAACACATATCGGTCGACCCCTAATTCAATGCCACAAAAAAAGTCTCACCATTCTGATTTTTTTCGTACAATTCTGAGGGTTTTTGTTGTTGTTTACAGAACTGCAAGATAAAAACTCAGAATTGAGAGATATAAACTTGCAATTCTGAAAAGAAAAGTCTGAATTGTGAAATATAATCCCACGATTGCTAGAAAATTGTGCAATTACCTTTTTAATTTTTTATTCTGTGTTGGAAACATAACTGTGAGATACAAACTCATGCAAAAACTTTTTCTCAAAAAAGTCTGAATTATGAGATATACACTCATAATTATGAGAAAAAAGTCTGAATTGTGAGATATACACTCATAATTATGAGGGAAAAAGTCTGAATTGTGAGATATACACTCATAATTATGAGAAAAAAAGTCTGAATTGTGAGATAAAAAGTCACAATTACTTTTCTTATTTTCTTTTTTATTCTGTGACAAAAATGGCTTCCATAGTATTTATTCAACTTCATAATGTTTCTTAATTTTTAATGTTTCAAAATCCTAAACTCTTAGTTTACTTCTAGGTTAAAAATGAAAAAAAAAAAAATCCAGATTTTCAATGTGGTCTCAGACTTTGGTGCCCACTGTTACACTGTAAACATATTCTAAATGTATGCAACCAAACAAGATCCACAGTACAAGGTGCAGAGTTGCCTTTATCAAGGAGTCATGCATACACTGCATAGAGCAAATGATTAACAGGGCAGCCGATCAAATATACCCCCTCTGCCATCACTCATCACTTTCAAAGGGCTTTAAGAGCTGATGCTTAAATTGCAACAGTTTGTACAACAGTGAAACAAGAGATCTAAACACACGCTACCCCTCCAAAGTGTGTGTATCACCTGACACTTCAGACAAACTTTCTCAAGTGCAGTTTGGCCTTCTGTGTAATTCTGTCTAGAAACAGCCCACACTGCTTTTGATTTGAACACAGACAGTGGCTGGAGGGTGTCTGAGAGACGCTGTCACTTAAGCAATTAACTTTCCCTTTAAAGCCGCTCTTATAAAACTGACAGCTGCAGACATTCACAAAGGACCAATCACCTCTTCAGAAACACAAAACTGCTCTGCCATAAACCAAACTGGTTCTCTTTTATTGGGGTGGTCCGGCATCCCGTATACACCCCCTCACTACCACAGACGGGCCTTCTTACAATGGGACCCTCTATTTCTTAATAACGCTCATGGACTTGGGACGCTCCAGGGAAAGGTTGTGGCTCCCAGAGACCTATAGAGAGCAAACTTTTAAAATGCCAGTAAAGTTGCACACATTAAGCCTCAAAACTCGCTGTTTACAGTGGGACTCCAACATGCAGAAGGAATGTATAAATAGGTGGCTTGGAAAATGAATATTGTTGCAATACAATTTCAGTGCAAGTTTACACCACAAGCTCTGTACCATCACATATGTCATGAGTTATTACTTTCTAAATCTCATTGGCTACAGTCAAACTATGATTTTCCAATCATGCACACGTCATCTCATTTGAGAGACAAGTTGAGAGTTAAAAGAGGCTGATGTGGTGTAGGAGAAGCTCAGGTAAGAACAGACTACTAATGCACTCTCTCACGATGCAGCACATAATTACCAAGCAAACCGAAGAAAAGAAAGACCTTGATCAATCTGGGAGAGCTAGTTAAATTTTCAATTCTCATCTGGACTCGGAGCTTGGTGTACCAGCCTTTGAAGTGGTTGAGATAACTACTGAAGTGTGCTGGCATTGATTTGTTGAGCTTTTATGGCAAGCCATTTTAACATTTATTTCTTTAAATAGACTACTTTTAAATTACTAATACTTAATATTTATATTACTAATAGTGTAAATACACAAATAAGTACTGAGTAATATTAATTAACAACCTGTACTTACTATAGAATTATGGTTAGGGTTTGGTTTAAGGTTAGTTGCTTGCAGAGGCGGACAGTAGTGAAGTATTTTTACTTTACTCAAGTAAATTTAAAAAGTATCTGTAGTTTATCAGAGTGTTTTTCTTTGGAAAACTTTACTTCACTACATTCCAAAGCATAATGTCATACTTTTTACTGAACTTCATTTCATAAATAAAAGTTGTTGTTTGTTTTACCTTTAATAGTTAAGAACATTAAAAATGTAGTACTTTCTTGTACTCAAGTAAATCTTTGAATTACTTTTACTTGAGTAAAAGTAAGAAAGTAATAGATTTCTAATGTAATTAAGTATTAAATTATATTTAATATTAAACGTAGTGCAGTAAAAAAAAAAGTACAATATTATGCTTTGGAATGTTGTGAAGTACAGTTTTCTAAAGAAAAACACTCCGATAAAGTACAGACACCTGAAAAGTACTTTTACAGCAAAGTAAAAATGCTTCACTACTGTCCGCCTCTGGTTGCTTGTAATTATGCATCATTTAATGTTATTACAATAGTAAATACATGTAAATAAAGTGTTTGCCAGGAATTTTAATGATAATATGTCTTGCCATTGTAAATACTCTAGTTTATTCCTCACAGGCTAGTTTTCATTCCTGTTAAATTCAATATGGCATCTAACTTGATTAAGGTCAACAGTACTTTTTCCTTTGCTAGTCCTTTGTTACTAGTCACTACTCCAGTAGTGCAAAGTAAATATTTTGTTGCCACTGAATTCTAATGGGATCTGTAGTTTAGATATCAACTGTTCACTTCTGACTAATAGCCATATTTATTCCATTATATATAAGCATTATTTGTAACTATTCAAATAGCACCTATCTATTTTAGCTTTACTGGTACTTATTTATTAGATTTTAGAACTTCTTCACAAGACACTAGTATTTATCCCATTTGCTACAATAGCAATTATCCCACTAAGTTGCTTTTTTACTTGCTATATGTGAAGATTAGTCAGAATTGCTACTTTGTGGTCACTTTATAGTAAGATTCAAATATTACCAGTAACAACAAGAATACAAAGTACAGTTAATAAATAGGTAGAAGTGTCTATTAAATTAGTACTAATAAAACTGGAATGGAAAAATACAATAATAATCATTTGAATAGTTAGAAGTAGGTTCCTAGCACCCGATAAATTACTAGTAAAATTGCAATAGCTATGTCAACCTATAACAACTGGAATACACACTAGTCTAAAGAATGTAGTTCAAATTTGAACCACAGATTCCCATTGAATTAACTAACAAAAAAATCTACTTATTACCAGTAACAATGAAATAGTTACTAGTTGTCACTGTTAATATAATGACTACAAGCAAATAAATAATTAAACGCATAAAAAAGTACTAGACGTAGAAAGAAATACTTGTTAGTTTACAAAAATTATTGTTAAAGCAGCTTGCCATAAGAGTTTAGAGTGATAAATGTGACAGCGCACAAATGAAGAATGAGCGCTCTTCAATAAACTGTTAACATTAACTGTTTGACTGAAGTCATCGAGTCCGCACTTCATGAATTATTAGTCACACACCTTAACTGACCTAATAACACTTATTATCTTATTAGTATAGTGATGATAACACATAGCCTACACCATAGCCTATAAACTTACATGAAAATCTCACTCATCATCATTTTATTAACTCCACTAGCTCGCTTGCTTGTTACTTCTATTTCACTCCCATTACCTGCCCACGAAAAATGAAGAAATGCTATTATTTTGAGGACAACATGTTTACGGCACTCATACACATATAAACGTAAACATGCAGAGATTCGTTTCGTTCAACACTTCTGGGCAGAAACTGGTAGATGTCTGTACCTCTGCATGACATTAGAGTTAACATAATAGAAACCATATTTTTCCCTAAAGTCCAACTCACCTAGAGACAAGAATGGTTTGGTTTCCATATTAGCGCATGCCAGCTATGTTTCTTGCAGATAAAGGTTTATTTTCCCCAGTGGGCAAGCTATAAGATCCAGTAGGAAACGTCGTCAGACTGAAGCCAGAGATCCGCTGTCAAAATCCACTTATTATAACTAAAGTATCTAGCCTACTTCAATCGGCTCCATCCAGTTTGTAACTCCGCGAGAGCGCTCGCTCACTCACTCCCAGTATTCCTTCAGCGATCAAGCACTGCCTCACCATAGGGACCCTACCGAGGGGGACCCTGACCACCAGCACTTTTGCAGCGACAAGCCACTTCTACTTTTTTCAGTGTGGTACTGGTACTCTTGCAAACACCCCCTTCAGACTATGAGATAATTCCATTAAAATATGTATTTACTGATATTTATAGGCCCGCTGGTATGACTATAACCCTTATTCGTTTTAGACGTCATATTCAACTGAATGAAAAGGAGGCTGTGAGGGATAGACTTCCTGTGTTTACAATGGCACACCTTATTTTTAATATAACAGCTGAGCCCTCATTTGTAATTTGCATGTGCAAAGCTTCCGGTGTCATTCAATTACAGATATTTTAGCTGAACAAAAACAGTCCGTTTTGATGCTTGACATTGCAAACTAGTAGGTTATTTCTTATCAAATGCTTTTTATTTATTATCGTATTCATAAACAAACTGGTTTTTCGTGAAAATAGTTTTACCATTTACTGAACTTTGTTGTTCTTAGTTTTTTAATGGCTAATGAATCGAAAGTCTTGCACATTCACAGAAAAATATCTTACTTCTGCATTGCAAAATAAGGTGGATAAAGATCCTAGATTATGTAATTTTCGACAACTATTATTTAGTTTATCTTTGGAGAGACATTAAAACAATCCTGTATTACACTGAACAAAATGTATCTGGACTATTTTCTCTTTCTTGTTTGTACAGAACAAACAACCTCAGTGCTGTCTATCTAGGCCTATAGAAAATGTAAATGTGTGTGTGTCACTGATGTTGTGTCCTCCAGGGAATTCATCATTAATTCATATACATGGCACATTAAAGATCAAAACTATTCATTAGCATTATAAAACAAGTATTTAAATGAATATGCATAGGTTAATATAGATTGAGGGTTTACTCAATGCAAAGGGGGAATTAATTATAATGTGAGGTGGAGAAACTTTCTAACAGCTATATAATATTAATATAATCTTCATGGCAGGGTATATTAAAACCTGACATAAATGGACAGTTGACTATTAAGATAAATAAAAACAAAGTGTGGTTGCAAAGTGAAAGACAGTATCTTTAAAGGTTCTGCGTTAAGAACTAATCTGTATAAATGCATCCACATATGTAAATACTTAGATTCTTTATGTTCAGTAAGTCCTTTATTTTTAAACCTGAACAGAGCAACTGGGATCTTTGAAACGGATTATCATGTTGCTCATTCTCATGTAATCTCTTCATGCAGGTCAATGTCATGAGCTTCCCTTTGTGAAGATGTCAGCAAGCTTTTACACAAGTCTTGAGACAGAAGGGGGAAAAATTTAGGTTTTGATCGTTTGGAGCTCTATAGATAGACATTATTTGAAGCTGTAATTAGCTGTGTGATCAGATTTGATGTTTGTTTAAATGGCTTGAAATTTCTATCCTGTTGGTCCACATTTTTCTGCACTATTTCAATGCAAACTTGACACCTCTCCAATAGTGCTTGTCTGAGCAAAGAAAATGCTGCCTCAGATCTAATTAAATTGTAATTTTAGAGGTCAAATAGCTTTTCAAAGCAAATGGCACAGTTCAGCTACTGAGTTCTAGCTATACGGAAACTCATAGCTGTAAAAACGGATGAGGAGAGAGTCATAGGTTACAATAACAGCTGGTGAGATTGGGAGAGCACTCACTTTTCAAACAGCATCTTACTCTGAAGAGACCAAAATGGCTTTTCAAGAATGATTGCAATTGTTCCTCAGTTCAAGTACTCTTATAGAGGGAATGTATCCAGCTTAATAAATCTAAATGTATATATAGATGTATCTCTAGTAAATTACAATATAGGGATACGTTCAATTTCAGAATGCAATCCGTTTTTATTTTAATGTATCACTGAAATTAAAGGGATAGTTCACCCAAAAAGAACATTTTATCAGCATTTGCTCACCTTCATGTTGTTCCAAACTTGTATGAGTTTCTTTCTTCCGTTGAACACAAAAATATATTTTGACGATTGTAGGTAACCAAACAGTTTATGTTAGCCACTGATGTCTATAGTGTGGAAAAAATATGTGACCCTGGAGCACAAAAGCAGTCTTAAGTCGCTGGGGTATATTTATAGCCAAAAATACATTGTATGGCTCAAAATTAGTGCTGGGCGGTATACCGGTTCATACCGAATACCGGTGTTTATTTTTGTTATGATATGAATTTTTAAAATACCACAATACCGGTGTATGTCGCTTAAACAACGTTCGGAATGCGACATTGTTTGAAAGGGGTCCCTTTTCACTGTTGCACTGTGATGAGGGAACAGCTGTATGTGTTACTAAACGTGAAAGTTCCGAAACTGAAGCTGTAGAACTAAAAGAACGTGATGACACAGAAGAACTCATCAACAATATCCACATTGACCGCCACAAATATCCAGCACCCCCTGCCATCAGCTCCCGCGACTCACACACACACGAGCGCGACTTTAGCACTAGATTTAGCAACTTTCAGACCCTTTTAGCGGCTTTTTTCCATAGAATATTCATACTGACAAACCTAGCGACTTTTTTGGATAAACCTTAACTATGGTTCAGTTGCTCCAAAGCAACCACATAGCCGCTCTTTAGTGTTAGATGCATGTTGATTTTATCAGACGATGCCGCGATTATAAGTGAGAGTGACTCCTGGTTATGTATTAAAAGGGGTCGTGTTTAGTCACTATATAGTGTGGTATTTTTCGACAATATTCACTCATGACCGAAAAAAATAGGGCATTCTCAGTCAATATACTGCAGTATTTCCTCTCTCAATCAGTAGAAAATATGGTTAACACCCGGTCATGCATGAAAAAAAAAATACCGTCATGTACCGTGAAACCGGTATAATTTTGAAAAATATCGTGATATAAATTTTTGGTCATACCGCCCAGCACTAGTCAAAATTATCGATTTTTCTTTTATGGCAAAAAATCATTAGGATATTAAGTAAAGATCATGTTCCATGAAGACAAATTGTAAATTTCCTACTGTAAATATATCAAAACTTCATTTTTGATTTGTAATATGCCTTGCTAAGAACTTCATTTGGACAACTTTAAAGGCGATTTTCTCAATATTTTCAGATTTTCAAATAGTTGTATCTCGGCAAAATATTGTCCTATCCTAACAAACCATACATCAATGGAAAGCTTATTTATTCAGGTTTCAGAAGATAAATAAATCTCAATTTAAAAAAATTGACCCTTATGACTGGTTTTGTGGTCCTGGGTCACATAAGTCAATGTCTACCAAGTCAATGGTGAATGCAAATGTTTGCAACAGCAATTCTTCTTTTGTGTTCAACAGAAGAAAGAAACCCATACAGGTTTGTAACAACTTGAGGGTGAGTAAATGATGACTGAATTTTCACTTTTGGGTGAACTATCCCTTTAAATACATATTTAATTCATTAAATTCTGCTCTTTTACACTTAAACTAAACATGTTTTTCTGTTCTTGTTATTTTTCTAAAAGAATGTTAAATTGTTTCTTTAAACTGCCATAATTTCATCTAGTTTCAGGGGGGAAAAATGAAGCAAGCACAGTGTTTTCTTATTCCTGTGTGTATGACAGTAGAACTGAGTTTAGTCATTGGAAGTCTTAGGTTCACATTCCTCGCTATCGATCAGGAGCTAGAAACAGCCCTGAGGTCAGTCTTTCCTGTTAACTTCAATACTCATGCAGGAAAAAAAGAGAGAAAAATAAGAGAGAGACAGAAAGGCTTAAAAATTATAATAAAATAAACAAACAAAAAAAGGATAATAAATAAAATAAAGGAAAAAATATAAATAAATAAAATTACATCATTTATTATTTACAGAAAAAAGAAAAACACAGAGAGGGAGAGAGATAAATGATTGTTTTCCTAGCCTCTTTTTCACTTGGCTGTTACAGGTTTTGTAATTACTCTGTCAGAATAAGTCTATACTCTCAGGAACTATGCTTTCCTATAGAGATTTACTAACAGTGATGGTGCAGGCCAACAAACAGCTCCGCTGAAATGAGCACACCACACCCCTCAAAACAGGAGCAACTCCATCAAACAGTGGTATTATCAGGGGTTAGTGATAGAAAACCAAAATCCTTGTGCAGTGTGACTTTCTCAGGGAGACAAATTGAGATGTGTCTGACTGACTGATCTCTTAAGGATCAACGCCAAGTGCAGGGGCTCAGTGGCAGGAGTAATTTAGTGCGTCTCACTCTCTCCGCTGGTCAGCCACTGTGGAGGAAAGAGAGGGGCAATCAGCCTCGTCATAAATCTCTACACTTCCTCCCACCATCACCAGTTCAAGAGAAATACCCCCAACCCCCTCGTACACAGCCCATTAAACCTGTTTGCCCCCAGACACACACTCACGCTTAGACAATCCGCTGAAGTCCGACACAGCAGCAAGTAATCAGTCATTTCATGTCTCTTCGATGCATCCATCATGAGAGTTCTGGAAAAAAAGTGTCATGAACTAAATATAAAAATGTTTGGACTGCTGAACGTATGAAAGCATTACAGAAAAGGCTGCAATTAAAGGAATAGCTCATGGAAAAAGAAACATTCTGTAATTATTTATTTACCCTCATGTTATTTTAAACCCATATGCAGTTAGTTTTCTAATTGCACATAAAGTAGTATTTCAAGAAGACTTGGGCTATAACTTAAGTCACAGAGTGTACGAATCAAACTTTTTGGTGGGGGGAGGCTTCACAGCCAATGTTATATGGAAAGAAGAAGTGTTTATATTTCTTAAAATGTCCTATTTTTATAAAAACTTTCTCATTTTCTTTTAGTTTAAATTAATGAACTAAAATAACTACAACTAAAACAAAAGTGTGTGTGTGTGTGTGTGTGTGTGTTTATGTGTGTGTGTGTGTGTGTAAACAACAAAGTTATTACAACTTTATTATTAAAACAACTTAAACGTTATTATTTAAAAAATTACATGAAAATAGAAAATAAAAACT